GTCCCAAATAGGACGAAACGCGCGTCAAACTGGATTCCACTGCTAGCCACTATCCATCTCTGCTTACCATGCTTGTGAATTAAGGCTATATCGAGGCAATACTCACAGTATGCAAATATCCAAATTAGAGACTGACCAATTGCAGTCCTAACACATCGATGGGAAGATTCAAACAAATAACACTAAATGAATTTATGCATCCTGTTTAAAAATAATTAGCAAATTGTTATATTGATATGACTCATATAGAATATTAACTTGAATCTGCATATATATATGTTAAGTGAAAGTTTGAGATCTGTGATCAGAATATAAATATGGGTCAGATAGGGTGAAAGAGATATGATAGTGCAATTACAATTCGATCGAGTGAAAGACTAAATTGTGTGAAAAATTAGTAAGGTGTAATAAGGAGTGATCAATGTGAAGTGAATGAATCATGAATATGGGAGATTAATAATGATGTTTAACCAATAATAATAATAATATCAATAATATTTGTAAATAAAGATGAGAGAGACAGTTACATTTGACTACGAAAGGTCGTAAGTACAATAGTCAATTTAGGTCATCCAATAGCTAAGATTATTATTGATTAATTGGCCTTGTGGTTGGCCAAGCGTGGAGCAGAGGCTGGAGATATTTCTTCTGTAAGCATAGTTTCGGTTTCTTCATCCTAATGGCTACTGCCTCAGCCGTTTGAACGACTTTAGGCCTGACAAGCTTTGGTAAAAGATTGATGACCCTATAAATAATTGAAAAGGATTGGTTTATACTGGCACTATGACCAATTTGTACTAATTGGACCAATATCAATCTGTTTACTTTCTTCACCAAACCATTGCTTAGCCACGCTGGGAGATGTTCGCGAGCACGAAAATGTAAATTCCTAGAACATCGACCAATATGACTTGCTCCACAGTCTAATTGATAAATACAAAATGAGGTGTTCATTCTAGACAATTCATCTTTTAGCCTCAGGGTCACCATTGGGCCCGTATTAAACACTAATCGTAATTCACCGGCTTTGAAAGATTTTTGGATTGTTCTGCATAATCTCTTAGTTAGTATTTCGCTAGTCACATCCCCTCTAAATTGTAGGCGCATGAACAGGGATTTTTTATTCATCGTTTGTATTTCGCCTATTTTCACTTTCGTGATCATATATTTAATTATAAACTTAAGATAACCATTCTCCCTCAGAGCATTATGCAACGTATTTAGTTCATCTTCAACTATATCCGCAGAACATATAGTACATATTCGGTAACTAAAGAATTTGACCAAGTTTCTTTTGTATTGTAGAGGTATAAAGCTAAGGAAATGTGTATACTACCCAATCCAAGTATTTTTCTTCGTCCTCTTTGGGACTTGTCAGCTTGATATACTTGTTCATTCTAGGACTTAAAACTAGTATCTTCCACTTCAAATACCATCACGTTATCCATTTACCTACTAAGTCCTCATAGTTACTAATTTGTAAAATAGGGTAATTAGATTTAAATTTATTTGGTATTGAATCTTTCCATTGATGTTTACAACTGTAATTGATCAATCTCTTATTAACATTTATGTATCCTGTTTAGAAATAATTAGCAAATTGTTATATTAGGTTTCTATATGTAAAAGTTAATTTTGTCCAATACCTAGTAAATAGTTTATATATATATATATACATACAACTACTAATAATAATATAGCTGGATGTAATATTAGCCCATTCCAATATGACTGTATCATGTAAACGGTATACAAGTATCAACATATCAAGGTTCCAGTATCTAGAACTAACTTGCACAACAACAACAACAACAAAACAGTTTGAAAGGTCAAAATGTTTATTAATAAGTAGTATATATTGAAAGTATTTAAAAGAATCTCACACACACACACACACGCTCTCTCTATATATATATATATATATATATATATATATATATATATATATATATATATATAAACAAAATGAACCACTTTTATACAGGATTTCAATTATGTGATATTTTGAGGGTTAAGTTGACTTATTGGACATTTATATATGACAAGTTTAAGATTATAATCCATTAACTATTCTAATCTAAAAATAATCAATCAGATAAAGAGAGAGAGAGAGATTGGGTTTTTAAGATCCAGATCAATGATTAGATGTTTAAAGAATGGCAAATAAATTTTTGAAAAATTTTTTGTCACACTTTACTATCTACAAACTTGGCAACAATTCATAAAGTCACCAACCTCTGGTTTGAACCATGTTGATAGATGTAGACTATTTGGTTAGGGTGTGCGAAACTATCGTAACTAATGATTGGAGACTCCGGGTAATATAGATTACAATCGATCGTAATGATGTAGGTGTTTACATTCTTTGTTTTGCTTTAAACTATGAGATTAAAATTACTGTACACCTTTCTTTCTAAGAACAAATTCTTTCTTTTCGTATCATATCTTTATAAGTAATCTTTCTATTATATATTACTACCACTAAAGTCACTGCTTTTATGAATTCGGTGTTGTTCTTGTTGTGCTAATTAGATGTGACAACTTGGACGTTATAGTTGACTGATTGACTGACTGATTTGGAATAGCGTATATCCACATTTCTGAACTAATAAATGAGGATATCCTCATTTTTAGGCATATGACTATGAAACATAAACAGATAAGTAGAACTTAAAACAATAAAAATTTACTCTTAATATGTTCAATATTAAACAAATCAAGAACTTTTAATTGAGCTACTTTTGTACATATCAGTTAATCAGTGATCGTGTAAATCACTCACTTAGATGGTCTATGTCGAATAAATGGGGACCAACTCGAGTTAGATGGGAATGGTGTGACCAAAAGCTAACTTCGAAGTCACATCATGCGGTTAGTGCCTAACGTGGATAACCCCTTCAACGTATCAAGGCACTAGGACTGCTTCGAAGACCGAGTCACACAAAGGACGTTATTACGGAAATATATTAGTCAGACTACGTACAGGCGAATGTGAGACCACCACCATATGGGCCAGTCCATAGCGTACGATTAACTGATGCGCGTTGGTTGTACTTAATTTTGCCAGAGATTGATGAATTGTTCAATATTCACTGACCCAAATGTTGGATGATTTGGCTAAAGCTCAGTGTCATTTCACTGGCCCAACATATGTGTAATTTGATTAGTGTAGTTTTGATGACGATCATAACTACTCTGTATACAATCAGATATCGCTAACATTGTTGGAATAATTTACTTTCATTGAATTAAGATTCAAACACGTCAAGATTAGTTGGTCAAATCCAAAGTGACAAAATGTGCACTAACTTTAAAAGCCCCCCAAAATAACTTCATGAATTAATGAGTTTCACATATCCTTACTGAGTTATTATAGTAAACAAATTGTATAATAACTTTGAATCATTATCCAAAGTTCATACACTCTATACCAGGAAGTTCATTTTAATTATGCAATAGTCGATTATTGCAGGTGTACTAAAATGTTACAAATAAATAAATTCAACTATTTAATCAGTCAGTCAGCTACAACGTAGGACCAGGCACATTTATGCATCGGTCCAAGTTGCCATACCTCGTTAGTACAACAAGATGAATACCGAATTCATAGTAGTTAATTTAGTGGTGGTAATATATAAAAGAAAGATTGTATATAAGGATATAGCATAGGAAGGAAGACAGATATGAAGCAATTTAAATCTCATAGTTTAAGGGAAGACAGAGAGTGTATGCACCTGCGCCATCGTGATCGGTTCTGAGCCATGCCACACAGAGTTACTACCATTGGTTACGATAGTCGCTCAGACCCTGACCAAGTAGTCTGCATCTACCAACATAGCTCAGACTAGAAGTTAGTGCCTTCAAAAAATGATTCCACGTTTTGATTTGGCCGCCCCTAATTCCCTTCCAACCATCCCCAATACTAGTCAGCATTGCAAGTCGTGGTAATCGGTGTTCAGGCATACGTAACACGTGGCCCAACCATCTCAGTCGATGGAGATTCATGACCTCATCAACTGCTTTACCATCATTCCCTAATACCCTACATATAACCTCACTATTACTTACCCGGAGATCCCAGCAGATGGGAGCAATATTTCTAAGACATCTGTGGTCAAATACTAGTAACTTACTAGTATCGTCTACTCTTAATGACCACGTTTTGCAACCGTAAATTAGAACAGAGCGAACTGCTGCGCAGTTACTACAATCTCCATTACCCCCAATTGTGATAATAATCATCATCTCCTCACTAGTGATTAGCTTCAAGATGAATTTCTTGGAGCTCTAGTGAGAAGCCATGACCAGTAGAGTCCAATCCATGTCGAGTAGAGGCAGATATCTATCTCAGACAATAGATGAAGAGTTGCACAAGATCATGGATAGATTGAAGTTAAACATTAACAACATTGGATACCGTCTCAGTGGTCTAGCGGTTAAGTATTCATGTGATAGACCAAAGGTCGTGGATCTGAGTCTCTTTGGTGAAGGATCATGAATGCACATTGTTGAACAGTCCCATACTAGAACGAAATAACATTCCAATGCTTGAATATGATAGTCGTCATGATCTGTATATACAACTTATAGATATAATCAGGTTTATTTGTCATTGTGTTGATTGGTTTCAATGAAATGTCATGACAATATGATTTATACCTTTATATTTATATCTATATCTATATATTGAATGTAATTACCACATATATAAACAGACTTATACACATTAATGCAAAAGTATATTGGTCTAATGCTTTCATTGATAACATACTTTATTTTAATATTTAAGTATGACATATACACTAAGTAATCAGTCAACCATTTCACTTACTTATTCTATTAATACCTCTATTTAAATCAAGATTCCATTTCTTTGAATAACATACAAAAAAACAAAAAAAAAGAGAAAACAAAAAAAAAAGAAAAAACAAAAAAAAAGAAAAAACGTTTTTCTATTTTTTTACTGTAAAGAAAAAAATATTTTTTTCCCCAATTTTGCAATGCATTCATTGAATCGTTCTAAACAATCTATTATAAATAATAATGGTAATGGAATAAATAAAAATCAAGGACTATCTAAATTAGTAAGTAGACCTCTTTTATACCTTAAATCTGTTCAATGAAAATAGATTCGAAGAAATAATACATCCAGTTCTAATCATTCCAATAGATGTTTGATGAATGATAATGTAAAATGTAAGTATATTATACAATCATATTGTTTTTTTAATACATATATGTATATATATATTTAGTTGAAATCATGAGCCAATTGATGTTAGATCATTCTGGGAAACCTGGAAGCACTGGACGGCCACTTCGTCCTAAAGTGAGACTCCTCAGAAGTGCAGATCAACGAATCCGCCTCGCGAAATTCGAACTCACGACCTGTCAGTCTCGTGTGCGAGAGCTTAACCTTTAGACTGCTGAGCCGGCGTTAGTGTCGTGGATGCGCTCTACTGAGGAGTCCCACAGTAGGACGAAATGGCCATTCAGTGCTTCCAGGTTTTTCATGGTGATCTAGCTTCAATTGACTTATGATCTAAACTATTAAAATTACTATAATATTCACAAAAACCCTTTCTGATAATAATTTCTATCTAGTTAGTTAGATTTCTATTAATAATAAGATGGTATCATTGTTTTATGGTTGTTATAAGTGTTAATATTTTAATTTTAATTTTGGATCGTTTTTATATCGGAATATTTTACCACTACACTAAGTATCAAGGTTACATTTTATGGATTGATGTGTAATTCACCTAATGATTTCATGAACCTATCTGAGTTAAACCACTAGGGAAAACCTACCTGTAGGTATTGAACATTTGTTTTGTCCTAGTATGAGACTTCATAATGGTGGTCATCCATGACTCCGTACATGAGTATCGAACCAAGAAAATTTCGGTCTCGTATGTGAACGCCTAGCTTCTAGACTACTGAAGTTATACATAAGCATCAGTAGATGCCACATGTTGGGGGGTCCACGAGCGAGACCGAAAGTTATGGGTTCGATTTCCGGCCACTGAGTTGTTGATGGGTACTGTTGAGAAATCACATAATAAAACAAAAAGGTTACCCAATACTTACAGTTTTCCAATGGTGATCTAACTTACATCGGTTGATGATTTTGCTGAAATCTGGCAATCCTCACAACCACGTACTGAAAATTTCAGTTATATCTACACAACAATTAAATTTCATCGTGCTGATCTAGAGATCTGAATGTTTTTTTTGAGGTGAGTTATGTTCTATAAAAAAAGAATGGTGGACGGTAGCACACTATTGTGAATTGGTTGAAATTAGACATTAATACCATTACATGCCGGCTTAGTAGTCTATCGGTTAAGTGTTCGCGCGTGAGACTTATAAATCCTTTAATTGACTCATAAATTCAATGGTTAAATTATTCAAATCTCCATAAAACACCCCCCTGTGATAATTTCACAATACGACGAAACGGCCGTCCAGTGTTTCCAGGCTTCCCATGATGGTCTAGCTTCAATTAACTCATGATTAAATTATTAAAATCTCCATAAAACACCCCTTTGATAATTTAGTGGATTGGTTGAATTTAGACATTAACACCGTTAGATGCCGTCTCAGTGGTCTGTCGGTTAAGTGTTCGCGCGCTTCTGATAGGTCCCGGGTTCGAATCTCGCGAGGTGGGATCGTGGATGCGCACTGCTGAGGAGTCCCACAATAGGACGAAACAGCCGTCCAGTGCTTCCAGGCTTCCTATGGTGGTCTAGCTTCAATTGACTGATGATTTCAACTATAAAAATTTCAAAATTGACAATAAAATGGTCATGTTGCCGAATTAGTCTGTACATATATATACACATATGTTCGATAAAATATGGACACATAAAAGTTCATATCACTTTTATCATTTCTATTTTGTACGTCCAAGTACACAAATATATAACTAACATACATATGTATGTAAATCATTGATATGCATGTATTTTTTATCCAACCTTGAAACATTTACATGATTTAAGGTGATCACTACTTTTGAGGAATCATTTATGCTCATATATAATTGTCATGATAAATATGACAAAACAAACCAAACCAAACACTCGATATCATTTCGAATTATCATTTAGTATCTGTGTGCTTGTATACTTAGTATATCTCTCTTTATATATATAACCCTGAACTTGTCAATGATCTCATTTGAAATAGTAGGGTTACAAATAAACTGATAATCATCACTATTATAAAAATCAAATGTTCATGTGTTTGTATTTAGTCACGACAACGACGACGACAACAACAACAACAACAACAAACAAACAAACAAACAAACAAAAAACCGAAAAACAAAACAAACAAACAAACGTACACGTACTTTCAACACATATATACAAGTTATATATACGAATTGTAAATGTTAATATATTCATTGAATTAGTATTATTATTATTATTATTATTATTATTATTATTATTATTATTATTATTAACACACTGAATATCTAGTTAGTAGTAGTTGTTCAATACGAAACCCTAGATCACTGATCTAAGAAAAGTTTCCATCCGATTCATTGAATAAATTTCATTTAAAAATCTTTATGGATTATTTAAATTGATAATCACCAACCTTCTCCTTCTCCACCCCCACCTACACATTCACCTTCTCCTCCTCCTCTTCATCATCATCGTTACCATCATCATCACCAAAAAGAAAATATTTTTTTTTTCGGAAAAAAATGCCTAAAACTCCTGTAACCAGTAAAGAATTAAAATATTTTCCAAATTTTATTAAACGGAATAAAAGTGTTAATTTACAAAGTCGTCATAATAGTAAGTATATAGTTCTGTTATCTATTTTTTTTCCTTTTTTTTCCTTTTTTGGTTGGTTTGTTTTAAGAATTAGTGGGAAGGGGTGTGGTATAGTAATATTATAGTAATATAGTAATAATAATATAGTAATATAATAATTTTGATAGTTGAGATCATGAATCGTTTGAAGCTAGATCACCATGGAAATCCTGGAATCACTGGACGGTTGTTTCGTCCTATTATGTTTTATATATCTATAAGGAATAGATTTGGGAAAATTGTAACCTTATTTTGTAAACATATATGAATGAAGTGTTTTTAGAGATTGTTGAATTTTATGGGTTTTTTTTTGTTTTGTTATGGAATGACCATGATTAGACAATTACAGAAAACTAGGTGTCATTGAATAGTTGTTTTGTTTAAGTATAGAACTCCTCAGTAGTGACCATTCATGATCCTAATAACAAACTTAAACTTTAAATCAATGCGTCGGTATTCATTAGTTTATATTGTTTAAATTTCATTATTTCATGGTATAGAGATAACAGTCTTTTAGTGCTATTGATGGGTAAATAGCTGACATCTGATATGGTTGAACTCCACTAGTCATGACTTCTGGTTAGAATCCTAGAACTTGCCTCTCAGGATTAGGTACTAATAAACGAGACCAAGTGTTTACTACTCAGGAGTTTCATACAAGGATGAGTTAACTGTTCAATGTTTTAAACTTTCCTGTTACAAAAGTCACGTTCACTGATATCTTTTCATTTTTTAACTATCGAATCATGTCAGTACTATGTCAGATACTGTTGCAACCTGGATAATAATGGGCCGATATTTCTAGTTTTTTATGTTTTTATCACAAATTAGTATAATCTGTTGAATCATTCTAAGCCAGAGTCTACTTACCATATTATATTCATCAGTATACCTGTTCAGTTTATTCTTTGATTGAATTTACTACTTTTATGTATCGTGTAAAATAACTCATATCTTAGTGACCAAATTTAAATCTTTCAAAAACTTTTTCTTAACTAGGCATCAATACCATGGTTGAACTTGATAGTTTCAAATACATTGACCATTGAGTTGATAGTTAATAATAAATATTATTTACTTACTTACGCCTGTTACCCCTCATGGAGGAGCATAGGCCGTTCACCAGCATTCTCCATCCAACCCTGTCCTGGCCAATCCTTTCCAGTTCGTTTCAGTTGTTATTCATCCTTTTCATATTTACTTCTATTTCCCAGCGTAATGTGTTCTTTGGCCTTCCACTTTTCCGCTTTCCTTCCGGATTCCAAGAATAATAAATATACTTTTTGTTATATCTCAATGGGCACTATTTAAACTTGTGTCAGTTATATATTTACTCTGAAGAAATGGCTTATATTTAGTTACGAAACGTCAAAAATACAATCTCTTCCTAACTGTTGAGTAGAACTTTGAGACTAAAAAACCATTTAATTAAATTAAAATAAATACAATTTATTTCCCAATATATAGTGGATCATTTTAGAGTAAAGAACCTCACATCAAACGTTTTGACCTTTGGATTATTTGTTGAGCTAGTCGGTAAGAGATGTATCATTAACTGAATTGTTGCTAAGGGAACTATTTAAATTTTTGTAATATTTCGGAATCATAGGATACTTTTGGTATTTTTTTGCTGTGGACTATAGAGACTAATATAGATTCAATTTCCTTACACCAATCTGTATCAGATAAGATAACTTAAGCGGTATAGATTTTACAGTTAATCACTACTAGATAATAATAATAGTTTATTCTATGTTTGTGATGATTGACAGAAATTGCTAGAATTAGGCTTTGTGTCCCTTATCAGGTAGAAATATATCGTTTCTCGAAAAGCCTTTTTTTCACTCAGGTGGCTAGAGTACTCACCTTACAGTGTCGTTGTTGAAAGTGTTGCTACTAGACCACTTGTGATGAAGCTTGTATGACCCAGATTCATTAAGCGTTGTGAACAGAGAATACAACACAGAAGTACAATGCATGAGATGTCAAGTCATTTAGACAATTTATCACATCTCAAAATTTTCGATAGAATTCAGTTACCCATGAAGAACTACAAAAACACGATATAGGCCAGTTCTTAGTAATTAATCAATTTAAATATTTCATCTCTACACTAGGTCAGCCAAAGACTGACTAGCTCACTGGTAACATCACCAGTTGTCACACTGGGTGAAACAGGTTGAATTGTCGTAGAGAATATGAATTCTCTAAATCTTGTTGATATACCGTACTGGAGAATGCTAAACAGTGAGAAACCTGGAATCAGTTTCCTTCCGACCATTTCTAACTAAGTAACATCAATGGTTGTTCATTTAATCACTATCTCTGATTCCTCTTACTTTGTCGGTAATAAAGGGAATAGTAGGA